AGTCCCTGTTCCCCTGAGCACTGCCAGGAGTGACCAGGAATAACGGTCACAAGCCGGCAGAGGGTAGATTTAGGCTAGATATCAGGAGGCGCTACTTCACCGTCAGGGCGGCTAGGATCTGGAACCAACTTCCAAGCGAAGTGGTGCTGGCTTCTACCCTGGGGGGCTTTAAGAAGAGGTTAGATGTACACCTTGCTGGGGTCGTTTGACCCCAGTACTCTTTCCTGCCATGGCAGGGGGTCGGACTCGATGATCTACTCAGGTCCCTTCCGACCCTAGAAACTATGAAACCGGATATGACATTGGGCTTTTTTTCTACTGTTCCTCTCTCACTTGCAGCCTCCACATTAAAGGTCTAGGAGGTTCTAATTCAGAGCCCATATCCCTACCCTACCATGCTCAGTGGCTGTTGATGTCTCTTTCCTCTGAGAATTTGTCTAATCCCCTTTTGAATCTGGCTAAACTGTCAGCTTCCACAACATCTGGTGGTAATGAGTTCCACACTTGAATTACCTGCTGTGTGAAAAATAATTTCCTTTTGTTAGTTTTAAACATACTCCCTACTAGTTTGATTTTGTGACCCTTAGTTCTTGTATTGAGAGAGACAGTAAATAATAAATCCCTATTTACTTTCTCTTTGCCAGTCAGTGTTTTGTAAACCCATATCGTGTTGCCCCTCTCAAGTGTCTCTATTCTACACTGAATAGGCCTAGTTTACTTAATTTCTCCTTATATGCAAGCCCTTCTGTACCCTAATCATTTTTGTTACCCTTCTCTATACCTCTTTGAGAGTGAAAAGAGGAAGAGACAGGCTGAGAGAAATTTGAGAGAGATTACGCCAATATCATATACCTTCATTGTTTCTCAGCACAAAATACATGCAAGTAGCAGAGCAGTTCCCCAGTATTTTTAAATATGCAGCAGAAGGTCTAATCACTTAATTGAACGATAGCAATAAGTATGTTTTTCTGACATTTTGTGATTCGAAAGGAAAAATAATAAAACTAATTTTTTTGGCTTCCACCCAACATGAGTGACAAACAACAAATATGGAGGACACTACTAATTTACTTTGCCTGTCTTAATTAGTATTGCACATACAGTCATAGCTATCTCTGCATCTTGTGAGTGTATATCCAAAGCAAACGCAAACTGCTGCAAACAACTACACATACAGATGGGGCTGGAAACACAATCACACCCATCTCAGAGTTCTTCATTTTGAGTTAGCTAAGTCATTATCCCTACCTGTTTCCTGCAAATAGTCTTTAGCCAGTTCAAATAACCTTAGGTGCATGTTGGTGATTGGATTGAAGGAGCCACAGGCTACCAGCACAATCTCAGTCCTGTTGTCTGGATTTTCCATACCCAAGCGAATAACTTCAGAGTCCCCGCCAAAAGCTACAGAAAGAGGAGAGGAGATTAAAAAGTTATTTCTGTTCCTAACTGAAGGACAAATAAAGCAGAAGATGGCCAGGTTATAAATGATTAGCCTTACTACTTGAAGCATACAAGGGACTACTTGAACTAATATATGCCAAATGCTGGCAGCTTCCCATGTGCAGACAAGCTCTGCCAAGATGATCTACCAGGAGTAATTGCTTTGTATGTTCCATCTACAAAATCTGCATTGGCAGAATATGAATCAGTCTCAACTGTAACAGATGAAGCAACAGCTGTCTAAGATAACTATGTTCTGCACATTTTATTTGTACCTGGGAGCTGTATAGACCATGACTTGCATGTTTTTTAAACAGAGCCAGTTCACTTTGCATCTGTCAATTTTTCTATCGTAGCACAAGCTGTAGTGAAGGCTGTTGTAAACTATGGCTTAGAATTTAACAAGATCTCAGCATTTGCATCTCATTATGCAATGTATGTGTGCAAGGCTCTCTGTGATGTGCTCCATGAAATGACGCCCCATGCAAATCATGTCACCCGAAATGCATAAAACTTTTCTTTAGTAAGTGACACCTGGCGCACATGTTTTCCTGATGTGGATAGTCTGGTTTCCTCTTTTTTAAAAAGTGTTCAAACATTGTCCACACCATAAGCTTTGTTGCAGGGAGCCCATCACCAATCAAAGTGGGGATTTACATATGACTGTGTCACTTCCACCCAAGCTAGTGTTTAAAAGGTGGAATTCATGGTTTAAGGCAGCTTGTTACCACACAAAGAATATGAGATACTACCAGCAATGTGTGTGTGAGGAGCCTGAAATCACATGTGGCGCACAGTGCATGCTTAAACTATGTGATCTCTTACGACAGGGTGACGCTGAAGATCAAGTTAAGTTTGGAGCTGAAAATGTGATTTGGTTCACGGAGTGTCTAACGTGATTTGAAAGTTGGTAGGCTTTGATCCATCAAGCATACAACAAGCTAATTAATTCAGTAAGCTGGGCCAAAGACATGGCATCGCAACTTTCAAACTGGCAACGTGAAAACCAGGAGAGACAAGAACTGCAAAGTTGAATCAGTACTAGAAGTACGATCGATCATTACCACCGCAGTTTAAACAACCATCTGTTTCCTTTTTCAGTGCCATTTGCATTTTTTTACCTCAACCAGGTGCCTTGTCTGAGTTTTGACCCTCAGCTACTGAAACGAATCCCTGGATGGCAGAAAGAGCATGACAAGCAACGTGCTGCTTACACGAATTTTGTTGAAGTGCCAGATGCCTTTGACTATGACTGTTCTGGGAGTCTATTTCTGATTGGTTACCACATCTCTACAACTTGGCAAAATGCTGCCTTAAGAGTCCAACCAATTCAGTGGATACAGAATGTGCAGCCTCAGTGTATGGACAAGCGTTCACACCGCGGAGACACAGGATGTCAGCTGCAACTGCTGGTGGATCCTGCATAACAGCATTTAACAACTAACATGAATTGTTTCTCTCCAGGTTAGCATTATTCAGTATTACTAAACTTTTTGTAGAACGCTAAAAATAAATTATGATGATATTAGTTACAGTTCATATTGTATATAAATGTAGAGCCATAATATTTCAATTTAGATATAAATTTAATACTCAGATTTATAATAATGCAGCAATTTATTTGATATTTCAGTGAACTTCCCTATTTAATTATGCCGCAGTTTTTGCCTCTTAGCCACTTAGCAGCAAGCTGTGGGGCTGCCAAGACCACTTGGCCAATTAGCAGGGGAGGAAGGGGGGCTTGCCACAAAAAGACCATGAAATTGGCTCCGTGAGCCATGAGTGGCCCATGGAAATCCCTGTTTCACTGAGATTTAGGTAGGCCCCTAATCATGAGTCAGCCCAGTTCCATTAACATGCAATTATTAAAGTACACCCCTCCACCCCCACACCTTTTTTTGTTCTTTTTAGAAATTTTATTTAACATTCATTCCAAGCCGTTAGCATGCTCTGCATTTCGGTTTCCAAGTCCTTCTATATGGGAGTTAGAAACGTACTTAAAAAGAAAGAACTCATTCTTGTGGATTCCAGTAGTTGGGGGTTTAATTAAAAAACTGTAAGACTCTAAATAAAATCATAAGAGCTGGCATCACTGTAGTAGACCTCTGATGTGCTTATCAAAAAGCCTATACCCTTTCAACTTCCTCTATGAAAACATCATAAAGTGTAAGCTGCTGTCACCATCTGTCCACCAGTCTATGCTTAGTTACAGGGGACCCAGTAGGGTCTTGATTTCCCTCAGCGTTAATGTGCATCAATCACTGTGCAGAAAAAATGGCACAAAAGATGTTCAGCGGGTGGCCAAGGCTGAAAGAATAGTGACACATGGTGTCATTAAAGTTTAAAGGTCCCAGAGTTTGTATATTTGGCAGCTCGCTATTAGTAAATAGTTTTAGTCAAGAAAACAAAAGCACCAGGTGTTTCAAACACATTTAACTTGTGGCTGTCCTCAGTTAGCAGCCTGTAATATTTTAAGCAGAACTTTTGCAGGAGTTGGCCCTAAACTCATTCCTGCAAACTAGCAGAATTGCTGCTTTCAGAAAAATCATTTCTTTAACTCTGCTTTTCCCCTAATAAATTCTTCACAGAGAAGGAGAGAGAGACAAAAAAGGACAGCTCACACCCACAAAAGATAACATTATTTCTGTTGCAGAATGGGAAGGAAGAGAGGCTGTTATTTTTAAACAGCTGGGAAACATTCAGCACCCGTGATGGGAGCCATGTTAGGACGAAGCTGCCAAATTACCGCTTGCTTGAAACAGAAGCAGTGTTGTTAGTGCCACATTTGACCACAGCAAACACAGCATTCATCAGTTGTACAGTTTACCTGAACGGAGTAAAAATAGTCCCTGTTAGTTGTCTCAGGACTTTCTCCGATCACCCATGTAGTTGGCATAAACCCTTGCCTCTCACGTCATTTCTGGACCACCACGGCTACATCGCTCTTACGTGACTGAGGATGTTATCCGGACGTTAGAGAAGGGTCTGCTCGTCCTGCAGGAGCTGCACACAGACAAAATACCTGAGCTGGCACTTTTGAAATGTGACCGCAAGAAACAGAAAAGTTGCTCTAAAGGCGAAGTGATCACCAGTTTACTGTTATGTGCTGTTAACTTAGTATACAACCCTTGCATTACCATTTAGCCCCCCTCCCCCCCTTTCTTTTGAGTTATTTAGGAAATTCTTGGTTTGCAATTAAAAAAAACAAAACAAAAAAACAAAAACCGAGGGGAAAGTAAAACCAACCCCCCCTTCTGCACAATCCACTTTTCCTGGAGCCTGAGAGCTAGATCAGCCCACAGGGATGTTCACCATTCGACACCAAATCAGAAAAGCAAACCGAGCCCAAATCAAGTGACTAAATGTCAGTCCGCTACAAAGCAGGGGCTAAAAATAAGTCATCCGAGGCTCTGCAAGTGTTTGCTCCTGCAACACGGCTTGTTCTCTGTAACAGGATCGTTTGGCAGCTCCCCCGCTCCCTTGTGCAATGGTCTCACGAGCTGCCCTCCCAGTTTGGCACGAGCAAACACGGCAGCGCCCGGCCTAAGCGGCGGGGTTGGTTGTTTCTGCCCTCCCCGCCCCGGCCAAGGCAACTTTCCTTTGCAGCGAAGGAAGTCAGATCGCTCCCCGGTCCCGTCCGGAGGAGGGGCCGGGCCGGGCCGGGCCGGGCCGGACATGCTGGTGCTCGTGCCGCTGCGGCTGCTGGCTCAGTCCCTGGCCATCGCGCTGCTGGTCTCGCTCGTCGTGACGAACTGGCTGGTGGTGACGGGCTCGCGGGCGCTGCACGGGGCGCTCCGCAGGCTGTGCCGGTAGCGGCCGCGGGGTGAGCGGGGCAGGGCCCGGGCATGCAGCGGGAGTAGCTCGGGGGCTGGCCAGGAGCGGTGGGGCAACGGGGTTTATTTCGTCCGCAGGAGAAAAAAACCGAGCGGGGGTTTAACAAACCCCGTCAAGAGGATGGAGCCGGACTGGTGGCAGAGCAAGGGACGATGGGCTCCAGTTGCAACAAGGGGGGTTTAGGTTGGATGTTAGGGAAAACTTTCTCCCGAGGAGGGTAGGAAAGCAGGGAGGCAGGCTCCCCAGGGAGGTCGAGCCTCTCTCCCACCCCAGATCTCCCTCCTCAGACATTTCTAGACAAAGCCTCGGCTGGGGTGATCTAGTTGGGGCTGGTCCTGCCAGGAGCAGGGGGCCGGACTAGATGCCACCTCCTCATTTTCTGATTCTGTGCAAGTGGCGGTGTCGGGGGAGGCTCACGAGAAATACCGCTGTCCGCTGCAGGAGAGGGGGGAAGAAACTGGATGGAAAGCCAAGGCCGCGGCAAATTTTGGCTCCGCTGGGCCGGGGCGAAGTTTCATGGTTTCTAGGGTCCGAAGGGACCTGAACAGATCATTGAGTCCGACCCCCTGCCATGGGCAGGAATGAGTGCTGGGATCATAATACCCCAGCCAGATATCTATCCAACCTCCTCTTACATAAACTATAAGTATTTTAATAATTATTTTCCAACACTGGAAAGTTTGTGCTAAGAAATCTGGCATAATTTTTTTCCCCCTGGGTAAAATGATATACCTTACACCAGAAATGGAAATTACAGGGGCAAAGCCCGAAACAACTATTACACTCTACCTAAACTTAAGTGGTGGGCATTTATTTTTCTCTTTTGCACAATTTCAGCTGTTTTTGAGTGGAAGTTGTTTTCTATGTGTCCGTGTGCAAGTTGAACCTGCCCAGGTTGTCCACAAGATACAGTTGTAGTTAAAAAGCAGGAGGAAAGATCTGGTTTGTGCATAAGTTCTTCCTGTCCTTGAACTTCTTCCCCCCACAATCTCTCTAGTGCCTGTCATCAGCAAGAGAAGCACTGTAACAACAGATATGCTTGGGAACAATTACTTGTTTTTTAAGGCAAACTTTTTTTCTTTTACTCTTGTTCAAAGAGGAGCGGAGATGCAAACGGTCCTACAGCTCCCTGTTCTGTACCAATTCTGTCCGTTTCATTACAGTCAATGCACTCTGTGTTTCCCATGACCAAGTAGGCAGCAGTGGTTCTCAATCTTTTTAGACTCAAGGCACCCCTTGGAAAATGCCAGCTCTTCACTTTCGCTAATTTTTTTGACTCTGAAAAAATAAAGCATTTCTGCTGCGAAGTATTCAGAGAGGCCACAGCGAGTCAGAATGGTTTTAACACTGCAGAGTCCTATTTGAAATCTCTGGGTTTATCTGGTGAATCACATTTGCACACCTAGCAGCGCTGACTTAGCATGGCATCCTGCAGCACCCTTGAAAGAATCTCAAGGCACTACAAGGTGCTGCAGTGGCTGAGCATCGTGTCCATACATGTGAATACTTCTCAAGTCCATGGGTCAGTCCTAGGAGCTGGTAAACAAATTATCACCACCCCAATATTAATGGACTTAAAGCCTTTCTCCTCCTTCCAGGTTCTTGAGGATTTGAGGCAGCCCAACTATGATTTTCTCCCTGGTTCTCACAGCCTACCACCTGAGCGGATGGCTGTCCAAACATCATCGATTCAGAGTGTAATTACGGTTCTGTTTCAGGACTGTTTATGAGAGGGGGTGTTTATGGAAAAATACAGTAAATGATTTAGAATATTCTTAATCAAACAAAGCTTTCAGAGAAAATGGCAAAAATAACTGCAGACTGAATCAGTATAAGCAGTGGTGTGTTAGGGAAGACTGAATGTAAGCAAAAGAAAAAAAAAAAAAGCAGCTTCTGACAAGAAAAATCAAAATATAAAAATGGTCCAAATCAGGATGAGAGTAAGTTGGGAAGCCTAAATTACTAAAATGATTTGAAGGAGATATGTTCAGAGAAAGGCATCTCATAGGACTGGACCACACAACGTTAGATGAATGGAAAATGGAACTAAATGGCTGCTACTGTTATTGTATGTGATCAAGAGATTTAGGCCTTGCCTGTGCCGAGAGGGTCTAGAAAACACAGTGGTAAAAATGCCTGCAAATGATATGCCCTTGTTTTCATAATCACTTGTAGAAGTAAAGCTGCACGGCTGATAGTGGGAGAATTCTGTATCTTTTACGGTTCAATTGATAAAACTTCATGCTAAAAACAGTGCTAACTCCAGCTTCATTTAATTTAAGCATGATCTAGCAGTACCAGTTCTTATCCTAGGGAAAGGTTTGAATTTTTTTAGACCAGTGGTGCCACAGGATCACTGGGCCTGTCTGTAGGCCATATCAGGACTAACCCCCTGTGCCCATGCATCACCCATGGTGCCAGGCTCAGTCTACACACTGCCCGTAGCTTGCACCAGCCCCATCTCAGGGCTTGACTGTGCGCAGCCCACAGGCTGGACTCGGTGCTGCACACTGCACAGGATCTAGGGAGCAGGCTGCATGTGGCACTCTGCTGGACCAGCCCTGCGCACTGGCTCCAGGGCTGGTCTGGATCTGGCCCCAAGCTACTTGTGCACACTGGAGTTGGCATACAGGGTTGGTCCAATGCAGGTGTCACTTGCAGTACATGCCCGTCTCCCTGTGTGCATGCAGCACTGGGTCCAGTCTGTGCACTGCATGCAGTGCATGGAACCAAGAGCAGTGCACACCTTATATGGTGCAAGGGGTCAGTCCAGAGATCTACAGGTCAGATCATGTGGCTCCACAGGCCTGAGAGCCATGTGTTTGACACCCCTGTTTTAGACTTACACATTATTCCCAACCCATTTTGGGAGTAGTTGAGTGCTCATCACCTTTGAAATGCAGCTATAAGTTCTTTGCTAACTTTAAACATGGGACTAAGGAGTTTAACGTCACATGTAATCACTTACAAGAGCTGTGGGTTAGGTGGATTATTTTACTGCATAGCAAGCAACCAAGTTACAATGTCATTCAGTTTGTTTTCTTCTCCATCAGGTTGTAGTGTGCGTTTTTGGAATTAACAATCTTCAACTTCAATGTTGTCTTATAAAGAGTTTAACCAGCAAGACTTAAGAGGTTTGATGTATGCACTACGACTTCTGAGAGCAGTGGAGAAAAAAAACGTAGCAGCTATCTTACCTGAGGAGCCAATTTGAGTATTCTGAGACATTAGAGGGAAACCATAGCCTGTCCCAGTTTTTGTTCTCACCTGACAAGGGGACTAGCAGCTGTTATTGCTCCCCCGAAGATCTGACTGAAAACTCCATTAAAGGAAGGGAGAAAGACTGGAAAAATCTTCTTGCATTTGTAACTAAGTGGTTATCTGCTATTTCCTTCAAGTAGCCTTCTGTTAGGGAACTTATAGGGTTACAGGAGGTTTTGTGTGGTCATTTGGTGTAAAAGAGATCTCCACACAACCAAGGGACATAACTTTATATAGTCGAGTGCCCGCTAAGGTCCTGCCTGTGAGAGAACTCTTTAAGTAATCCAAATATCCCAGATGTCTTCAGTATGGTGTTATTCTACTTTTTGTTAAAGAATAACCTCTACTGGACTGTCTGTTTTAGTGGTGTCCTGGCAGCCCTCATTGTACGTTTTAAATAGTAGTTGGTAGATAGAGCCGGAGCTTTGCTTTGGCAGGGAGAAGTAATGCCAATCCAGCTTGAGCCAGATGCTATTACTTTAATAGTTCTCAGTCCCAGGTTTAAAGTTGTCAATTTTCTCTGATTTGTATCAGCATAGTACTGCTATCTCAAAACAGTGCTCTCTAACAGATTCATATGCACCTCTGAAATGCATAAATTGAGATAGTTGAAAAGGCTGATAACTGTGTCTCATATTATGAGAGACAATTAATGAAAATAATACAACAAGTATTTTGTTTAATCAAAAATGTAACTGTTCTCTCTAGGTTGCTTTTCAGACCAAACTTTTCCCAATGCATCAGCCAGACACTTCTGAACAGCTTGGTTGGTGGCATCATCTTTGTTTTCTTCACCTTTGGTGAGTTTTATGGTTATCAGAATTTTACAGGGAGCTATATGGGACAGCAAGGAAACAGGACTTGATTTAGATCTCAGAAATTTGTAAGAAGCACCAGGAGCAGGAAC